AAAAAAAAAAAAAAAAACAAAAAACAAACAAGGTTTCCAAAAATTCTGAAAAAAACATATATCATGCAGAAGAATAAACTAAACAACATTTGCCTCAACAGTAAATCCAAATTACTTACCAAATTTGAAATAAAAATTAAATACAAAAAATAAATAATATTAATGAAAATAAGAAAAAATAAAACGAGAATGAAATTATTGCGTGGGCGAGCAAGTTTTTGACACCGCCATCTTTGGCGATTTTTTAATTTTTTTTGACTCTGTCAAATGACATGAAATTTTATGCATTTGTATCTTACATAATAGAGAACCTACCAATAAAGTTTGAAAAAATAATAATTTTTTTCAGGCCCCGAAATAAAGGGAAAACAAAAACTGAAAAGAAAAAAAAAACAAATTAGTAAGTGGGAAAGCAAGTTTTGATACTACCATCTTTGCCGATTTTTCATAATTGCTTGGCTCCACAGAATGACTTCAAAATTGAGGGACAGATAGCTTACATAACAGAGAACTCGTCAAAACAAAAATCAGAAAAAAATAATAAGTTTTAGGTACCAAAATATTTTTTTGCGGGGTCCGAACCCCTTTGAGTTCGGGCCCCGTACGGGGACCCGAACGCCCGAACGTTCGGGGGTCAGCTTAGGGGCCTCCGTACGTTCGGCCTGGCAACCCTGATAATAATAATAATAATAATAAATAAATTAAAAAAATAATAATAAAAATAATAATAAATAAGTAAATAAATAAATAAATAGATAAATAAATAAAAAAAGAAAAAAAAAGGAAAGAAAATTAATAAATAAATAAAAAAAGAAATAGTCTAAATTAAAAAAAAAAAAAGTAGATAGTGAAAGGTGAAAGCGGTAACGCATCGTCACTGTGACGCGCAGGCAGCGGGGGATCGCACAGGGGTAGTGAGATTGGCTGCGCCTAGCTAGAGCTTGCTATTGGGAAGGTGGGAGCGGAGAGGCGATAGAGCGCGTGGGCGCTGAGGTGGACACCGCTTCAAGGGGGCATAACCATGCACCTGCCATGACGGTCTTGGCCGACGACAATCGGTAATCCTTGTTTGACGGAGGAAGGAAGGGGGAGATGTGGGGTCGGTCAGCGGGCAGGATCTGCGCGTCATGCATATCAGTATTATCACCTAGTCAGGAGCTTTGCCCTTTGATTGCAGATACAAAACATGGTTGACTTGTCGGTGCTGTTGCAACTTTTCTGGGCGTGAAGCTGGAGATGAGGACACGAGTGCATCTATCAAACGTCGACTTCCGAGAGAAAGACAACGGACTCCATACTGTAACTAGTATCGCCCACCGTCGATGACAACGGGCTTCAAGCCACGATCAGGGTTGTCCATGGTTGCTGATGTTCCTTCTTCGGGCGTGATGAGACTCAGGGTATTGTCCGTGAATTTTATGAGAGAATATTGATTGCAATTTTACTGGCTTATATTGGGGTTGGTATCTAGGGTTTGATGTCATTTTGTAACCTTTTATGGTTGCTTGTGTTGTGTTGTTCATATGAATCAGTGTTAGCATGATAGTTAGGGTTTAGTGTCGTTTGATCGCTTTCTTATAATTTGTGCTGTGTTGTTAGAAGTAGAGATTCAGTTGGCGCACGAAGGGGGGACGTGCATTAGCGCAGCGGTAACGCTGCGCTAACGTACCGTCACTGCGACCCGCAGGCAGCGGGGGATCGCACAGGGGTAGTGAGATTGGCTGCGCCTAGCCAGAGCTTGCTGTTGGGAATGGTGGGAGCGAAGAGGCGATAGAGCGCGTGGGCGCTGAGGTGGACACCGCTTCAAGGGGGCATAACCATGCACCTGCCATGACTGGTCTTGGCCGACGACAGTCGGTAATCCTTGTTTGACCGAGGAAGGAAGGGGGAGATGTGGGGTCGGTCAGCGGGCAAGATCTGCGCGTCGTGCATATCAGTATTATCACCTGGTCAGGGGCTTTGCCCTCTGATTATAGATGCGGAACATGGTTGACTTGCCGGTGCTGTTGCAACTTTTATGGGCGAGAAGTTGGAGATGAGGACACGAGTGCATCTATCAAACGTCGACTTCCGGGAGAAAGACAACGGACTCCATACTGTAACCGGTATCGCCCACCGTCGATGACAACGGGCTTCAAGCCGCGATCAGGGTTGTCCATGGTTGCTAATGTTCCTTCCTCGGGCGTGATGAGACGCAGGGTATTCAAGTTGTCCGTGAATTTTCCAACAGAATGTTGATTGCACTTTTACTTGCTTATATTGGGGTTGGTATCTAGGGTTTGATGTCGTTTTGTAACCTTTTATGGTTGCTTGTGTTGTGTTGTTCATATTAATCAGTGTTAGCATGATAGCTAGGGTTTGGTGTCGTTTGATCGCTTTCTTATAATTTGTGTTGTGTTGTCCTTTTGTTTTAAGGTTCGGAGTGTTCATCCGTATTAGGATAACAGTTTTTAGGGAAGTTCTTCATCAGTGTCACGACACTGATGAAGACTTAGAAAGTAGATACGTAGGTAGATAGAGATAGAGCAATTGACGAATTCAGATAGTAGTTGGTGCTTGGAATTGCTGGTGACAATCCACTGATTGTGGGATGCTAATTGGAATATTGGAAAACGAAAACAGAGATGGTGTAGCAATTAGTAGATACTAACTAGGTATTGGGGGATGGTAATCTGATTTGTTGGTTTGAAGGTTAGTGGTATTACGATTGGTGGGGCTGCGGTGGGGATAGGTTTGGCCAGGAGTGCCTTGCTTAGCCCGTTTGGCCGCAGCAAATGATGTAAGGGACACCGAGCCCGTTTCCCGGCTATATGAATACGGAAAAAAAACAAAAACAAAAACATGAGTGCATCTATCGGAGAAACTGGAAAAGTTCATCAGCTACGATTAATAGTACCGGATGCATCTGGATCTTGCCACCTCCTCTGGGCAGATGCACCTGTTCTTTTTTTTTTTTTTTTTTTTTTTTTTAAGGCCCCTTTTTTTTTTCAAAAAAAAAAAAAAAAAGGAAAACAGTGGAAGGTCAACGGTGTAAGAGCACTGCCTCATCTCCTTTTTTTTTGTTTATGGACACTTTTTGAAGTGCCCCTCCGACTTCCATTTATATGTGGTATGCCCCACCGACGGCCGACCCTGTCGTGCCCCTGGGGCCTCTGAAGTTTCCTGCAGGCCCCTGTCAGTGAGGGTTGCAACTTTCCAGGATGCCCCTGTGGCCGTTGGTGGCACTCGCGGCCGTTCCCCTGGCCCTGGGAGGGGAGCTACTGGGCCATACTGGAAATTTGGAACCAGTACTAGTAGGGGCATATTGGACATATTTCAGGCCCAAACGACACCAGGGGCTTTTCAGAAACTTCAATCGTTGTCACGGGTAAGTCGGCCGTCAGAGGCGCATACCGCAAATAAACGGAAGTCGGAGGGGCATTTGAAAAACTTTGCCACTTGCTTTTACCCTTTTACCCTTTTTTTCCCCGTTTGTGGGCCTCTCTCTACTCTACACATGCACAAACGACCAAAAAAAGAAATGGCGGTGTATCTACGCATGATCTAGGGGAAGATTCATTCTCATTTTGCACATTTGGAGAGTAGTGGAGCGAGGCCCCGTTTTTCTTCTCTTCGTTTTTACCCTTTTTTAATTAGAGGCGCTTGATGTGTCCCGACTTGTTGACGTGGACTGTCTGCAAATCAGTCGTTTGCTCTTTTCCATTTCTCCCCGCCCTCCCCCTCTTTTCTCTTTACCCACCCATCTTCAACCCTACTCTCCGGCCTCCCCTGCCACGCGCAAGGCACCCATAAACAGTGCCCTAAATCTCGGGCACACAGTCGCGCTCGTCTGCTTCTCAGGACGTTGCCAGCGAAGCTGAGGGTTGAAGCGCGCCGAGCCGAGGGCAGCGGCAAGCAGCAGGTCAGAGACTCGGCGTACTATGACATTCCTTCGTTTTTCATTCCTGTTCTCTCTCTCTCTCTCTCTTCCGTCGGAGCGCCCTTCTCTCTCTCTCTCTCTCCCTCCCCCCCCAGTCGAGCGCCCTTCTCTCTCTCTCTCTCTCTCTCTCTCTCTCTCTCTCTCCCTCTCCCGTCGGAGCGCCCTTCTCTCTCTCCCCCCGTTCGAGCGCCCTTCTCTCTCATTCTCTCCCGCCCCCCCCTCCCTCTCTCTCTCTCGCGCGCGCGTGCGCGCGCGCGCGCTCGGTCGCTCGCTTGCTTTACCTTTGGCATATCTCCTCCGTCCATCCCACTGGGCGCATGTGAGAGTTGTGTGTGTAGTACTTGTTGACGTCAATGACACTCGAAGACATAAGTTTCGATTCCAAAGCCACAGCAGGTCGACAGGCGGGAATATGACGATGAGAAGGAGGAGAAGAAGAAGAATAAGTAGAAGAAGAAGAAAGAAAAAGAAAGGAGAAAGAAGACTGGTGTAGACGAAGGCACCAGCGCCCTAAAAATCTCGGGCACTGAGTCGCTCTCGTCAGCTTCTCAGGGCGTTGCCGGCGAAGCTGAGCTGAGGGTGAAGCGCGCCGAGTCGAGATGGTGGATCGGTCCGAATGAATCTAGTCCTTATTGCAGTCTTACTACGCGTAGACTGTCGAGTAGTGGAGCGACGCCCAAAGGCATTGATTAGTCTATTATGATAGATATGGGTAATTGCTGGCTGGCATGATGGAAGCACTCATTGACTAGAGAATGAACGGTCATGATGATGATGATGATGATGATGATGATGATGGTAAAGTGAATTGTTAAGGTTAGTTAGTCGTGATGTATCGTTAAGGTGGCGATGATGGGTTATCCGTGAAGTAATAATTGTGAAGGTCACCGATGAGCGATGATGATGATGATGATGATGGGTAATGAATGACGATGATGGTTAGGGTTAGGGTTTTACATACCTTGTGATAACGATGATGATGATAAAGATGATGATTAGGTGATGATGATGAAGATGATTAGGTGATGATAAGGGTTTGATCAGATGGTGATTAGTGATGATTGGATATCTGACTATAGAGGGACAGTGACGGCGATACCGTTCATGACTGCGTGAACGGGGTCGGGATCTTCTACTACTAATTACTGTTTTTTATGAGCACGCGCGCGCGAGGGAAGAGAGAGAGAGAGAGAGAGAGAGAGAGAGAGAGAGAGAGAGAGAGAGAGAGAGAGAGAGAGAGAGAGGTGGTCATGTGTAGAGATTACGCTTTTGCCTTCGTCATGATGATGCTCACTGATTTTATTGATTGATTCGATTGGATTGATTTGGTGCGATTCATTGATTGTTTGAGTGATGGATTTATTGATTTATTGATTGATTGATTGATTGATTGGTTGGTTGTATGATTGTTTCTTGTGGCCATGTTATTATTAGGCTAGTTCCTTTTCTTTTTTTTTGAACAAAAAAATAAAAATTGGACCATTTCTCGATTTATGCGTGTCATCCCTTGCTCGTTATGACAGATCGTGGTGATGACGATGCGGTAATGATGGTAGGCCTTTTCTTTCCTGGATGACACGCAGAACCGGGTCACCTTGTTTGCCCGGGCGGCCTGGCCGTGCAAGGGCCACCTTGTTTGCTGGCTATTTTAAAATAGTCTATCTTTGGGCTTTTCTTTCCTGCGTACCTACCTGCCCTGTTCTCGCGTCCTACATTCTTCTTCCCCCGAATACAACGTTCTCACGGTCATTAGAGTTGTTGTATGTATTCGGGGTATCTTCCAGTCTAGATACAGCTATAATAATGACCGTACGTACGTTGTATTCGGGGGAAGAAGGTAGTGGTGGTGAATGAATACAAGCTACGTCTCCGGTCCGGTGAAGTCAAGTCATGACGAGGGGTGCGTTGTATTCGGGGAAAGACGGGTTGCGTAAAAAAATCGTTCCCTTTAGTTCGGGGCAAAACGTGCAGACAACTCAAAAAAAAAAAAGAAAAAAAAAGAAGGGGGTAAATTACAGTAAATATCCTGCTTCTCTTTTTCTGTTTGATTTATTTATTTTTAAAATTTAATTATAAATCAACTGCCCCTCTTTCCGTTTCCCTCCCTCTTTATTTTTCTTTCTGGGAAAAAAAATAAAATTACAATTGGATATTTCCAATTTAATCAGTTGTGACGGGTATGCAAATGGAGTTGAACAGAATTGTTAATCAGACCATATTCACGTGAGGACTTTTTCCCTTGAATGTATCTGACGGCCAATACGTCCGACTCTGGATGTATCTGACGGCCATTACGTCCAGAGCTGAGTCGAAAATGAAGTCCTAATGTGAGTAGATGCCCTCACATTTACATGATTGGATTCCTGACAGCAACTTTTGCGTAACATTAATTAAATACCTTTTTGGCCATTTATTAAATTATTTATTTACTATTTATTTGTTTTTCCCCAAAAAATTCGGACTATTTCTCGATTTTTGCGTGTCATCCTTGCGCAGGGGCCATTTGCTAATCTATCTTTCTCTGTATCGTTCCAATTTTAACGGATGTCCCGAAGGACATCTTTTTGGTCATTTAACTCTGATGTGCAATTTCGGCTTTTTTTTTTTTTTTTTTTTT